GAAGAAAAAGCAAGGACATTTTTTTGTTCAAATTTAAAGACAAACCCTGAACATTATGGAATGCTGTATCAATTCCACTTAGCACACCAAAGTGCGAGGTAATCAATAGCTTAGGTTTGCCTTTCAAGAAGCTTTTAGAGAAATTAAAGTATGTGCAATCTAAAACCCTTCGGCCATGAAGACAAAAAAATGAAGAAGCCGTAAAAATCTTTACGCACAAAGAAAACCGAGTTACCCAGAAAAGCACACGTCAGAGGAAATGGGTGCATGTGATTCAAGGAAGTTTGACTGACCAGGCGCGCATACAGGGTGGGGTGGGGGGGGGGGTGGGGGGGTCTGGGGGGATCTGACCCCCCCCCCCCCCAGATTCTGATCGACCCAGATCCGTCCCCCCCAACTAAGGCCAGAAAGAAAACAAAGTCAGAGGTTTAGCGCTTGAAGCTCCTTTTTCCAATTACATTGAATGTAGCATGACGTAAACAAACACCGACTCCAGAGGCACTAAAGTGGTTGCTGCTAGGATGCAGGATGAAGCGAAAAAGGCAAGCAACGATTACTGCGTATTTAAAAAAGACCAACAGTGTAAGTAGGCGGGACCGATCTATTGGTTATGATAAACTGTAGCTTAGCTCATAGCTGTTCATCTTGTTGGTGAACGTATATTTTTTTCTATTCTTAAGACTATTTACTCCTTCAGATCTAAAATCTAGTTGCTTCATTAATTACATGAAAAATCGACACCAAGGCGTTGCAAAAACGAGGTTTATGACAACTGACAGTGTGTGAGCCTGGAAGAGGTGCAGGTTGAACCAGGTCTTGTATCATGACTCACTGTTCTCCGTTAAAAGGCCTAACTCACTAGCTAGTACACACGCTTTTCCCTAGAGAAAAGTATCCAGTGACAGCTAAAGTGGGAAATAAGGAATGCTTTTTGCCACAACTCAGACACATCCAACACAGAACTCCCTTCAACCCAATGTAATATAAATGAGAGGAGGAGGAGGAGCGTTGCTTGACCCAAATAACCTTCCTGTGTTTTAGCACTCGTTTTTGTCATGTTAACCTTTTAAGTGCCAAAATCACAAAATTGCAACAAGCCTCATTGCTGAGTATAAAGAGCCACAGCTGCAAATACGATCCCTCATGAAGGTATTACTTCATACCAGAAGATAGTAGAGATGTGTATTTTCAATCTGAGCAACACTTATGGAGGTGTTTCTATTGAAAGTTTGGAGTTTATAGAGTTTGAAAACCATCTCCAACCAAGTTTGGGTGGGTGTAAGAAGGATGGTAAAAGCAGTGCTAATGGTGACAGACCTAGCGAGAATGTTAAAAAAATAAATGTAAATAGTGGCAGACATGGTGGAGACAGAAAATTAAACTGAGTCTCATAACTGACATGATTATTTCACATACTCCAGCCATATGGTCCAGACAAGAAACTTTCCTTGGATCGATTGATCCATTCAAGGGATAGTTGACTATGAAGCGGTAGAATCCCAAAAACCTGACAAATATGGCATGGCTGTCTTTAGGGTTAGGGTTAATCTAACTATAAAAGAATATTATTTATGTATGTATAAATTAAAAACATAAAACTATAGTGAAAATAGCAAAACATCATATAAAAATAAGAAGGGAACTCTTTAAAGTATGCAATCCGATACGGCAGCCTGATGACATCATAATATGCTATTTAGGTGAGTGAATTTTGGGTTTTACTATTCTCGTTTACAGTTTTCCTTTGTCTCTAGCCATGTCTAAACTACAACCTTTTGAAATAATTGGGTAAGGTTGTCAGTCACTCATTATCTGCCCCTCACTTGATAATTTTTGTGAGCGAGAGAGGGAACGTCTAAAGCTTAGTTTATGCTTGGACGCATTTACTTTCCGCTTGGTGATGCGGCTCACGGATGCTTCACAGCTTGCAGCGTTTATGGTTCATGCGGCTTGTCTCTGCGGTGAGCCAATATTCTCCCAAACTCTAGGGGGCAGCATGGAGCTCTACGACATGCATCCAACACTACACCATAGTAGAAGTAAAAATTACTGTTGTTTACAACATGGCATTCCAGCATTTTTTAACAGCGTCCTCGTCTTTTCTGACAGTGCGAGCTATTTTTCTCCAAGAATTATTAACTACATGTTGATCACGTGATCTTTGAGAGCTGAATCGTACAAATGTCTTTATTTACGAACCTCTGCCATACTAGTTCTTGCCATTCCGCCATGTTTTTCCACATCCGACCGTCCGCGTGGTTAGAAAATTTCCTAGGTGCGCGGTGCGGAAAGTTTGGTTCATGCGAAGGCACGGTGGAGGGGCGTGGTTGTTAAAATGACGCAACTTTTCCGCGTGGAGCCGCGTGGACCTAGACCAACCTTAATTCAGAGGCTTCCTGCAACAGCTAACATTGTGATTTGAAAGCACAACTTATCTTCTTTCAAAACCCACTGCAGAGCATCTTTCACAGGATAAGAACCACAATGTGCTCAGGGTCCCGTCAGTGGAGCTGCTCTACGGTTAGACCAAGGTCTTAGTTGTAACGGTATGTATTTCACTATCTACAATGTGTTTACTGAAACAAGGTAGAGTCCTGCAAACTCATTTAATATGCTACAAAAACACAGAGTGCCTAAGGACATTATATATTTGAATTTGGTCACAGAGCAGTAAATCTGTGTGTTTGTGAGTCTGCTGCTTGGCCTACCTATTGGCTTTTCTCCAAACCGGCGATAAAGACAGGAACAACAGCAAATAATCCATGTCAAATTGGTAATCCCTTGAATTCTTAACAAAAATTGGCAGTGAGATGTAAAAACTGGAGGACATTTACCCCTCCAGGCTGCCATGGTGGGGACCTGAGGATTATGTACCGCTGTGCTCCTAATGAGATAGGATAATAAAAACTTAGAGGTGATGCTGGGCCCTGCTGGCTTGTGTAAAAACAGCTTTATCTTGGTTGTTTCATGCTATGTTGCTCTCTCTCACCCCTCTGCCTTCATACCATGCTTTATGTCTGGCAGGTATTTGCCCAGAGAAATTATTGTGGGTTTTTCAGATGACGACACCGTGGAAACGTTGACATTAGAATGAAGGTGTTGTTGGATGTATAGCAGCTACCTGCTGTCACTGTCTCAGCTTGTTAGTCATGTAAACATAATCAAAATCAATCCAAGCTGTCAGACATCCAAGCAGGACCCCGCTTTGCACATATGTGTTTGAGCAAACTGTTGTTTGTGTCTTTTCTGCATTTACAGAGTGCCAGTGTGTCCTCGTCGTCCTCGTTTAAAATTTTAATATATCATCCTAGACTCCTGTAGCGTCACGAAGGAACTGTTTTCCACCTAAAGGTCATTTCCCTTCTCTCATCATGAAGAACTAATCTCTTTGAGATATTGCTCAAGGCCTTTGATGCCTCTGCATCTAAACTGTTTTAACTAGCTATTTGCCTCCCCTACAGCTCAAGAGAAGACCAAGAAGAACTCTTTTGGAAATCAGAAGAACTCTATTAAATAATAATTAAATAACATCTGTTAGTCCTAATGATAATGTGAGCCCAATGTAAATCAATCTGTCAAATGACAATGTTAATTACTTGAATTATAATACTGTGATCAGTAGTTTTGTATAAGAATTAACTTGGTACAGAAGCACTAGACACTCCTATCACACGTAATGTTAAAATCGCATGACACATTCCTTTTTTCTCCAATCAGAGCTTTCCTTTCCTCCAATCAGAGGCATTCAAAGACTAGTGTGTCGTAACGTACGCTGTTTCATCGGCTCCGGTACCAAAAGGGGGTCCGAGGACCTGGCATTCTGGATCTAAAACGGAGATCTCCGTCAAGGGTATGTAGAGCAGCAATATGGCGTCTGAATGTGGTTTTCAAAACTCCGACTGTAGTTTAGAGCAAACCCTTCGCTCCCACACAGAACTAATGCTTCTCCGAAAACGAGAGTTCTGATAACAACATTCCACATCACACCATCCATCTTGCCTCATTCACACCTAGATCCATTCATCACACAGAGCGTTTAGAGTTAGTTAGCCTTATTTAGATTGTTTAGAAATAAATCTTCTTCAACTTTAAAACTTGGCTCTCTCTCTTGACTCTGGGTTAATACGAAGTGTTACCTAATCCCTGCAATAAAAAGTTCCGATCTTCTGTTTAAAGTAATATTCAAAGATACATCAAATTGATTTCATATTTTCGATGGAATCTCACCTTTAATGGTTCATTACGTAAGACGTAACTAACGAATCGTTACACTCCAGTGGAAAACAATATAGGCTGGCTGCACAACGAGAGAGAAAGTTGTACCCGATCTGAATGTTTTATGATGAGCCTGAGCCTGGAGCGTAAGTGAAACTGGCATCAAGCAAGAGCCAGAGAACGCAGAGGGTTCAGATGTTTCTTCTGATGTGACTGTGCTACGTCATTTATCTTAGCAAAGCGTAGATGGCAGATGTACAATAGTGCTTATTAAAAGCCTTTTTTCTACAAAGTTTCTCCTCAGGAGAATCAGAATGCATTAACATACAAACAGGTAAGGAACACAAAGCTTTGAATTAATCCTCATCTATCTGTCAATAATCATCAACGTCTTCCTGCAGCTTTGCACTTATTCTCGTGATTTTAAATGAGGACGGTGGTTTTAGCATCTGCATAACTAACCCCATGGGAGACGGGAAGCGCGCTAATCCTGTGCGTTCACTGTTGCCTAAAATAAACATCAGAACGTTATATAAAGCAAGCGGTGTTACTGAAGGATTAAAGCACTTCTCATTAAGATGCTCTATGATATTAAACAGACTTTGTTTGTTTGTGTTACTTAATGTTAATTCTTTTCTTTCTAGAACAATTTCAAAGTCAAAATGATAACATAAAACTACATTGTCTTTGTTCATTGGATAGTGCCTTTGAGGCTGATGTTTACCATAAATCTACATGAAGTGTAATGAAAATCCAGCTGAATCAGTGAATCGTCGTCTTCTTACCTGCGCAGGAGTAGCTTGGGGTGGTTTTTGCTCTCCAGGTTGCGGTCTATCAGGTCTGACAGCAGGTGTTTCAGGACATCGGTGGCATACTCCAGTCGCCCCTGCAGAGCTGTCATGATGAGCGAGGCCACATTGCCGCGGTCCCTCATGGAGAAAGAACGCTGCATCTCCAGTGTCCGTATGAATGTGAGCAGGAACACTTTGTTGTTGATGAGCTGACCAAACAGTTTCAGGGCCTTCTCCACGTTCTGCTGGCCATTGCCCGAAACCTGAATACACGAATGTGAATGCATGCTGAAACTGAATGATACCCAGCATAGTGAGTCATTTTCAACCTTTACTGTGACCTTGGCCCACATAAAATAAAGATTTTTCCAAAGGCACTGAACTCCTCGCTCATGTTTCACTTCAGGGAGACAGAGGCTCACACTCATGACGCTTAACTGAGAAGAGCCTAATCAATTATTGACCAGGGGTCTACCAAAAAGCAGTGTGGTCAAAATTAGCCCTTTCGCTTTCAAGTCAAATAGACAATCCCGGCACTAAAACAAAACTTTCACTTTCAACACTTTATTGTAGTTTGGTTTTGGGGGTTTCTGGTATAACATTAGCTGTGTTTCCACTATAAGAATTATGGGGAATTTCTTGGGAGGGGGAAATTGACTAGAAGTTACGTTGGCTTGGTCCTCTCAGCCGTTGTGTCTCCAGGCTAAATCAACCCTTTTAAGACTCTGTTGAGACGTAGGCGTTTCGAGACTGCTTTGGCAGTGAGTGATGTCACTGAAAAGGTGTCTAGGAAAATTATTTACCAGAGGTGTGACCAAGTCACTGCTTTGCAAGTCACAAGAAAGTCACAAGTCTTTCCAGTCAAGTCTTGAGTCAAGTCCAAGTCAAAGGCTACCAAGTCCAAGTTGAGTCCAAAGTCAATGATGCGGAAGTTCAAGTCAAGTCCAAGTCCTTAACTTTGAATTTTCAGGTCATAACCAAGCTATTGGTCCAACTTCAATTTAATGAAAATGATAATAAATAAATTCCAGAATTAAAGCTTCTTAAAGCTTCATTTATTTGCTCAAACAAGCAGAAAGTGCAACTGAAACTGATGATAAACAAAGTGCTGCTAAAGTTAGCAGTAGAAGATCAAACCCAGAACCAAGAATGATTCATAATTTCTGTTCATGTCGTGCCACTTTTATGCTAAAATGTCAAATATGCTCAAGTCATCATCAAGTCAACAGATGCAAGTCGATTCAAGTCGCAAGTCATTGGCATTCAAGTCCGAGTCAAGTCGTAAGTCTTTATAGAGTTTATCAAGTCAAGTCAGATGCCATTAAAATAATGACTCGAGTCCAAGTCATGTGACTCGAGTCCACACCTCTGTCATTTACATCAAAACTTTTATTCTGTCGAAGTACGCTATAATTTAATCGGTTTGAGGTAACAGAAGAGCTGCTGTGTGAAGTAAAATGTGGCATTCACTGAACATAAGAAACATCATTTGTTACAGCACTCTGTGAGACAACAATGCACCATGAATTATGGCATTGTGGGGGTGGGTGGGGGGTGGGTGGACTGGGGGTGGCCGTCACATCTCCCTGCATTAGCTTCCTACTGAGGTATAACCAATAACCACGAGTTAACCACAAGTCCCGCCCTGTGACCTTACCAGGGGTCTCACTTATCAAACATTGCGTAGAATCCTTACTAAAACCGTACTTAAGCTCAGCAAAAAAAAAAAAAAAAAGTACTTACGCCAAGTAGGTTTGTGATCTATCAAACCTGGAGTACACACAGCTGCACGCAATCTCCGCTTCATAAATCAGAGACTAATGAGAAAGGTTCTCAGCTGTTTCTGAGTCACATCCCACCCTCACCACGCCCACTTTCTGCCAAGAATAGTCAATGCAAAGTGACTTGTGGATCTCATGCATATACATAAGCCGGCTGTTGCAGCGCTCCACAATTAAGATTGCGACCGCAGATCAAGGAAGCGCAATTTCACAAGCAGAAGTTGAGGTACTTGTGGGTGAGGTGGAGAAATGAAAGGAAGTGCTTTTGCAAAACAAATAAGAGAAAATCCACGGAGTGGCACAGCGTTGCTGAAGCCGTCAATGTTGTGAGTTCTTCAGAGAGATCTGTGGCGGATATAAAAAAATGGTCCAATCGGGATTCGATCCCCAGACTCCCAGGTGAGAGTCATGCATGCTAACCAGTCACTCAAACAGAAATCTTCCTTGTCCAAGTAGCCAGGGCACATGATCAATCGGGTCACAGTGACAGGACACACACACTGTCACAGATGCATGACATTCTGTCTCAATCTGTCCCCCTGCTGATATTCTGCATTCCGTATTCTGCGCTTCAGGCTGTGTGTGTGTGTGTGTGTGTGTGTGTGTGTGTGTGTGTGTATGCGTGTGTGTGCGTGTGGGGGCTCTTGTTCTGTGTGCGCACGAAGCAGTACAAGTGATAATGCTGCAGGATTTCATAATTGTATCTTTCTCAGCAGCAGCACTGCAGGTGCTCTCCACGTCCAAAATCTGCGTAAGCCAGGTCCTTAGTCAACTTAAAGTTGCACACATTTTTCTGCTAAGTTTTCCTTTATAAATCCCAAAGTTTACGTGGAAAGTTGCTCACGCAGTTTTCCGACCCCGTTTTGTGCATAAGCAAGCTTCACAAATGAGGTCCCTGGCCATTTCCCAGTGCCTACCCTTTATTATGGGACTCCATTGTTTCCTGATATGGCTCAGAAAATGGTCCGGTTGTGCCAGCCCGGTAAAATGGAGACACGCGCTTGTCGCAAAGTTCCAGGAAACTTACCCTGAAGTATTAATAGTGGAAACGACCTTTTGTCCCAGATAATGCCATGGTTATTTCATGTTTTGAGCACCATCGATGTAAGAAGTTAATTACATCTGACTTTTAACTTACTGTGCCTGCTTTATTTCAACAACCAAGCATCTAGTCACCCATTTGTGAAACTATGTAAACTTTCTAGTAGAAACGAGAAAAAAATACACCATTGCTGTGTTTACTAAGACAATTATTTAAAATCCGTTTTTCCCCATCATCACATTTTCCATTTATTTATCATAATTTATAAAGACAGCCCCGAGCGAATCACAGTATTGGGGTTAGTGTCTTTATTTACTAGTAATCTGACCACATTAAGCCCCAAACTCTATGATTTTACTTCAGCTCTACTATGACCTGGCTGCAGTCAAATGTTATGATAAAACATGCTAACGTCTGTGGCTAAAGGGTCTAAAATAGAGAATCTGAGCTCATTCCAATATCCAACATTTATAATTTGGGTACGTCTTGAGGCTTCTTGTCAATTCTGTAACAAATAACAGCTAAACATTTTTATTTGTAAGTCTTTCATTCTCATCTGAAGTCATTTATCATTTCAAAATAAAACAAAGGTTGTTCTGGGACTCTGATGAAGAATGACAACATGGTGCCTGAAACCTTTTACCAGGATCCTAGGATGGAGGCGTTCTACACCACTTAAAGCATGTTTCAGAACACAAAGTTCAGCCAGCTGACTGCTAACGCTAGCACCACTAAGCTAGACGTTTTAGTAAACACTACACTGGCACATTTGGTTCAGTATACTTCATTCAAATTATGCTGATTAGGACATGCTTTTGATGTGTTCCCTCCCTCCAAAAAGGTGTCCTGTCTCTTGCTTAGGAGCTTTTGTTCGCTGGCAGCGTCCCACGTAAAACACGACCATTTCAAACAAACAGCGTGGCCCCGTGAAGAGGAGCAGGAAGTCCTAAACGGACAGTTTCTATCTGAGTGGAAGAACCCGCCCTCCTGCTTGAGGAGTGGGAATTACTTACTTCATTACCCCTCATACTGCAGCCACCGGTGGATGAAATAGCAATGTGCTGGCACCCTGTTTTCCATGAGGGAGCGCACGTGTGAGGAGTATGTGTGTGTGTGTGTGTGTGTGTCCTGCCCAGCATGATTGACTAAGCACGCGTGAGACCTCAGGATGGATAACTGGCAGACTGGTATTCCTTTCCCAGTTGAACAATTTCCTACTTATAGAGGTTGTCCCACAGTGGGAATAGCCATGGAGCGCTCCCTGCCTCTTTTTTAAACTTCGGTCTGACCCTCCTTTGGCCTCCCTTAAAGCATTAGCTGCTTATGTGTCTCAGTTGTCTGCTGCTCGAATCCCCTTTTCCTGTAGTTGTTACCTCCAGTTCTCTGAGGACAGGATGATCCTCTATGCCGGGAAAGAGGACTCTCATGGCGTATGTTCTGTAGTCCAGATGGGGAATACCGGCTCTGTCGAGGTCACTGGTAAGCTCATTGATGTCTGTCTGTAGCTCTGCAAATGCTGACAGAGAGGGGAGACAGGAAAGAGAGACCAGTTGGAGAAAATATTTGAAAAATGCATCACAGGAATAAAAGTCTTCTTTAATCCCCAGGGAGAAAGTTAGGGAATTCAGGGTATCTGCAGGTTTAAGGGAGCCAAATTTAAGACTTTTTAAGACCTTTTTTAAGGCCACTTTGACTAAATTTAAGCTATTTTTTAAACTAAATAAGCTATAATTTCCAGCTATTGCTAACCACTTCGCAATCGTGGGATTAGCCATCCATTTACCATTAAACTTGCACTTCCCCATGGCGCAAACTCCCACTAGCTTAACCAGCTAATGTGCTCATCTAAAAATAGCCCCCTTTCACAACCAACTGAATGTGTACGGTTCCGCTTACGCCAACATCGTACACAAAAAACGCTGAACACCAACTAGAAATTCACGAAAATTTCATAGAAATATAAGAATCTTGTTTATTGGGTCTTTGGTAATTTAAGACCTTTGGAAACTGTATTTAAGGATTATTTGTAATTTTTAAGGATTTTTAAGGCCTTAAATTTGGAAAAGCTAATTTAAGACTGTTTAAGGACCCGCGGATACCCTGGAATTATTCTTATCTTCACCGTGTTACTGGCAGTGAGTTGAGAATGACGGAAGGCTCATCCCCAGGTCAGTATTTTACATCTCCCTTTTGCAAATATAAAATAATAATAACAGATCCACCTCCCTCTCTCACACTCACACACATCTCTTTTTTCTTGCTCATGTTTGTCTCACAGACAGTAAATTGGCTGTAGCAAAGGTCCCAAAGCTTGTGTCATCTCAGTGCGAGGCTGCAGGTGAGCACTGGTTAATTGGCTGCATCCTGACTGAGTCTCATTCAGGCCCACGGCTCTGCAGCCCAGCTCGGCCGCCCTTGGGGAGTCTCCCTGCCTACAGCCTATCACCAGAGCAGCAGCAGTCCCCCAACGGCCACCTCAAAGCCCCATAAACCAGTATCAGGCCTCAGCTCCTGGCCTTTACAGCACCCTGCAACTTGCAGAGAAACCTGTTTAAATCCCAGCTGCAAGGCAGGACTCTCATGGCCGCTGCTAATGGTTAAAACATTAATCTTCTTCTTTCCCAAAGGCGGCCTCTGTGATTCTCCCTGTTCGCCTTCTCTGTCTATCTGTCTGTCATTTGACAATTCGTTACCCCTACCCCTACAGTTTAATAACACAGGGAGAGCAGAGCAGAGAGGGGTAGGCTGGAGTGGATAATTAATAAGGTCCTCTCTGGCTGATGAACCCCCCCCCCCCCCCCCTCCTCCAACACAGACCTCTGTTTTACCAGCAAAATGACCCAGGAACGGCGGAATCATTTGAACTGTTTAAAAGTGATGAGTAGAGGTCAGGGTGAGGTGGAAAGCCGGGGTTTTGGGATGGCTTGATTCATCTGCACAATATGTGCAATTACTATAGAGGCAAAAACAAAATGCATCTTTGTTAAACATTTACAATATAAATAAAGTTAAAGTTAAAGTTAAAGTCCCATTAGTTGTCACACACACTGATGTGTGTGCGAAATTTCTTCTCCACATTTGACCCATCCCCTGGGGGAGCGGTGAGCTGCAGACACGGCCGCGCTCGGGAACTATTTGGTGGTTTAACCCCCCAATCCAACCCCTTAATGCTGAGTGTCAAGCAGGGAGGCATTGGGTCCCATTTTTTCAAAGTCTTTGGTATGACCCGACCAGGAATCGAACCCTGACCTCCCAGTCTCAGGGCGGACACTCTACCACTAGGCCACTGAGCTGCATCTCTGGCTGGGAAAAGGTAGGGCTGTCCAATGCTTCAGCTGTTGATGCTTCTTTCATTCTAAATCTTGTAGAAGCGAGCCTGATTTAGCGTGTGATGAGGAGGCTCACGTGCAGGGCTGACTAACTGAGACTGCTGTATTAAGTAACTGCAGTCGCTCACTGGTCCAGATTTGGAAGAAATTTAACAGCGGAGGAGCAGAGCCTGGCAGTGAATTACAGACTGCAAGCACAGATACACATTTATGCTTGTTATGTGATTACTGCCCGCTCACATTCCCACTTCGCTGTATGCATTATAGCACAGCTGCACGTTACGCATGCAGACCGCACTCCTGTCACACCAACCTTCTTTGCACTCCAGGGCAACTCGTGACTCCAGGTTGTCCATTTGCATCTGCAAACGCTTCAGGGTGAGGTCGTTTTCTCGCGACTTCCGCTTGTAGGCGATAAGGACGAGGATGACGATGATGAGGAGGAGACCTCCACCTGCTGCGATGCTAACAATGGCTGGAAGGGTCAGCAGGCTGTCAGACATGATGTGCACCGCGCCTGGAGACATGTGGAGGCCTCCCACTTGAACCTGCCAAAGGAGGCAAGCACACAGAGTTGCAAAGTAAAAAAAAATGAGCCACAGCACACAGGTTCCTCATGTTAGGAGTACATTTGTGAGTATTATGTGGAGTAAATGATAACTGTAATGCAGCAATGCTAAAACGAATAAGGAACATGTTACTTCAATCAAAACAATGGTAGACAGGTCAAGCCTTAACAGCTTAAAGCGTACTGACCAAGACTTTGTACTGTCCTGTGAGGTTAGGAGGCTCACACAGCAGCTGGCTCTCAGACACAGTGACAGAGCAGGGGGTTTCTCCTATCAGCACCGTGTAGTTAAGCTTCACCCCTCCAGACGCCAGGGGAATCAGGTTTCTGCCCTGTGGGAAGGAAGTAATGGAGAGAGAGGTGTGAAATCAGGAGATAAACCCCACAAGGCAGTGTGGTTTGATACCTGAATCGCTTGGACACTTTGGCGACAAAGTGTGAGTCTGCGATCAGATCATGGTGAAATGAATTAGGAGAAGGCATTAAAAGGAAAGCCAGCTGAGGGATTTCCTGCAGTATTTGCAAAATTTGTCCACATCCTGCGCGACAGACTTGCCGATTGGACAGTTTTAAGGCAGCACGAATCCCTATGCACCCTTCATGAGAATCAGATGACGGGGAGTAACATGTTGTTGTAAAAAACTGTGGTGAGTCAGTTGCGTGGACGTAATTTTTTGGGGGGGACAGGGGGGACATGTCCCCCCCACTTTTTCCAAAATCAAGTTTTGATCCCTGCATTTTTTACCATCCAAAAACAATATTACGCTACATTAAATTGACACTGGTTGAGCTCTAGGACCAAGCGGAAAACAACCGTTTGTGTTGAAGCCTGTTTCCCATTAGAACATACTGTAAACATCCCCCCCGTGTCCCCCCCCCCCCCCCCCCCTCACTCCTAAGGTGCAAATTACGTCCATGGTCAGTTGCATTTGTTTATTTCCGGCGCCGTACCTTGAGGATAATTGGTGAGCCAGGTTTTTGCTCCAGGACTCCAGTGGTGCTCAGGGGTTCAAAGTACGGGTTCGGATAGTACAGCAGGTTGGTGTTGTTGTAGACCAGCAGCGCCTGGACGTTGTTGAAGATGAAGCCAAACTCGTCAGCGTGTTTGACTGTATCCAAGCCTGGAAGGTACTCCGCCAGGAGGGAGGGAGCAAAGCAGCTCATACTGGTGGTGTTCAACACCTTACACACCTGAGGAGAAGCAGACACACGGGGTAGGAGGTCACACCTTTTCTGATGGGTGTCGTTATTCAAGTGGCACGTGGTTTAGTTATCCAGCACATCGAGCTGTCTCGTTTTTAGGTCTGAGACTCTGACCTGATCTGTTTTGAACTCATCGGTTACAATAACTAAAGCTGTGCTCTTTAGTGAAATACACTGTTGTCAATACAAACCCTAAAGGGCGCTCAGCAGTCTAATAATTGACACGTTAAATCCCAGCTTTTTTCGGAGAGCAGGATTTATGATCTGTCCTTAAATCCGTCTTTATTGCAGGGGAAGCCTGCGTAAAATTGGAAATAAATCACAGCTATCGCCTCACTGTAAAACACTTGAGGACAACATCCACAAAAGGATGGAGGCATCGCTCCTCTGTCTCCTCAGGTAAAGGTTGAGCTACGGCTCTTTTATTACTTCGCTCCAGTTCGCCAGGATGAGAGACCCGTCTTCCATCCATCCTCTCTGGCTCAGCTGCAGGAGAAAGGGAGAGATGATTGATTGCTGCACAGCACTTTGCTCACAGAGGTTTTATTTTTTATATCTCCTCTCACTCCCTCCCAGCTCCCTCTCTCCAGGGAAGAAACTTAATTAGAGGTAAATATCATCAAAGTTGGTGAACGCTAGCAGCTACCACGCCTCATACCTGTTCGCTGCTGCGAAAGGGAGAGAGAGCGATGCAAACTCATCCGTGCAAGGCGCACCAATTGGATTTAGGCAGCATGGAGTAAGGTGAGTCGCCGAAGCAGTACTGAGGGAAATGACTGGTATATTTAATGACTCTTTCTCAGATGCAGACCAGAAACACTAAGTCAATGTTAGACTGCAGCTAATAATTAACAAATAATCAGTTATTTAGCCTTTCCTGTGTCTAAGGGCTGGAGTAAAATTACTTTTTAATCTCGTTTTGGCGCAGGCAGCATTTTTGTTCACATACTTGCTGCTGCACTGCGTGTAGTACTGGAGTGTTCCGCTAGGGGGCACACTAGATTACTCAGACTGGAAAGAGAGCCGGGCTTATGGGTACAACCAACATGGTGTCAATAAAAGAGCTCACTAGTTGGTTAATGAAGACAGAAATGAGAAAGCAGCTTTATCGTTTTTCTCGGGTCTGAAATAGCAAAACAGCTTTAGGTAGGGGTTGCTGTGCCTAAATAAAATCACATTTTGAATGAAAATAATAGAAAATGATGTTTTGTGGGAGAAACTGTATGGGTGGTTTAGCTAATAAAATGATGATAAACAATCATGAATCATGAAATGAACAATGAAAATTAATGAATGTGTTCCTTTTGAACACACACGTCAAAGCAAATATCACTAAAACACCAGAGTGCTCAGGGACATGCTGCATCATCACAAGACCAGCTCCCTTCACCAGCTGCTGCAGCCTCCTGAGTTTCAGGAGTCGTCTCACTGACTGAACTTCATTCAGTCCAGAGAACTTTCTCATCTTACTGTGATCCCACGTTTTAGTGAACTAAAAGATGCCAGGCTGTGGTTCGGGCTTGTTTCCAGAACTGAGGGGAGTCACCAGAGGGCTTTGCATCCACGTGTGCCTATTTGCAGTGAGCCAGATGTTATTAATATAATTAACATCATCAGAAAATAGAAAGCCCATTCATACGTGAAGTGACAGAACACTATGCAACGGTTTGGTAAATGACTACGTTATAATTTGACTTTGCCAAACCAAACGTGATTCGTACACGAGCTTGTAAGTTGTTGTTTCCGTCTGGTGATGCATACGGTGTGAGGCCTTCGTGTTGCAGGAGTGAAGAGACACTGAAGGTTTACTGGATGAAAATGCTCGGGTGAAGCTCGGCGCGGGCCCTTCTTACTGCTGGCACACCGACGTGTTACACAGACAAGCCCAGATGCTCTGGCTGCCTCCTCCTGACTGTTACATTGGAACAGCAGGACATTTGCAAGTCAACTAAAGCTCCGACTACCATCTGCTCTGCCGGAGATGGATACTTTTTCTTTTTTTTTCCTGCACTGTCCTTGCACTTTCTCAAATTTTTTTTTCTGAAATGCTTTCCTTCCCTGATTCCTCTCGGGTGTGAAAACTGCTTCTATCATCATGAAGAACAGTAGCTTTAAATCCAGAAGGACGAGTGAAAAAAACTACGAGACCACAAAACGATACAGTAATGTGGATATTTGGGTATGGGACGTGCGCATTACTTCTGCCTTCCAACATGGACCGTCTCATAAAGGTTCAGCTGCATTTCTAGATGTAATTTCTGCCACGTTCTACAAACAACAATCCTCTACAGCACCCTTTTTTTTACAAGACTGCATCTATTCCTTTAAGCAGTGCTGGGTGAGAGGCTACACGTTGTTGCCGAAGTGATGAAGAGAATTGATAAAGTGAACTGAGGTCAACAGAAAGAGAAAATAATTGGAGCTGCCGCCTCATCTGTCTTCCTCCTCTGCTGCTGGAGGGAGCTGGGCTGTTTTAAGGCAGCACCGCTCCAACGCCTGTGGCCGAATACATTACAATGATCTAGTGTGTGCTTACAACCCACTCCATCATGCAAAGGTCTCTGGCCAGGGCAGCGGTGAGAGAAACTCAGCCAAAGTGCTGGCTGAGGAATCGCGTGTGGGGGAAAAATGTGAAGAGTTCACCGGGTCAAAGGTCACCTGAAGGCTAACATTTGATATTTAGGCTCTAGCTGTTGCTACTTGCTTGGTCCCTCCCACACTGGATCTATCTTCTGCTTTGCCTTTTTAAAAATGCTAATAAAATAAAACTTCAGCTCCAATCTAAGTTGAACACGAAGAGAAACGGGTTTGCAGTTCTCTACGATGTGCTGGAAAATATCAGCGTTGTTTGACTTTATTCTGTTATCTTTTTGTTGTTTTCTTAATAATTCACACGGATCAGAGTGAAGGACTGACATCGTCATGATTTTTGCTGCTTTTGCGGATTATTATCATTTCATCTGCAGACCAGAGAGGAACAGTGATCTGGAGTTGGATGGCTGCTTAGACCGAGCCAGGATTCTCTGGAGGTTTCTTCCTGTTAAAAAGGGAGTTTTCCTCTCCACTGTCGCTATATGCTTGCTTAGTATGACCCCGGGTTTCCACGGGAGCCGTCAGCAGCACGTTACTGCAGCAGCACGTCTTGCTCGCGTAAGCTGCTGCTTGGCCCTTCCCACGAGACGCGAAGCAGCAGGGGAGCAGCTGTCACCGACCGAGCACGAAGTCACACGAGTGACTTCGTCAGTAAACACAACAACAAGCAGGAGAAAACTACAACATGGTTTGTGTTTTATGTTCTGTCCGTTTTATAATCGCCAGTACGGAACTGAAAAACAAAGGAGACCGCTAGCTAGGTGATAACTTCTCACGGGGCCGCACAGTTAGTAACTTTTTTAAAAGTAAAGCAACCGGAAGGCAGTACGTTCTTTATTCTGAAAATCTCGGGAGCTTCTCTCCATTTCCGCGTCCAATTTCCTGTCTTTCCTTCCCAAAAATGTCGAACTTGACCCGTTTCAGAGGCGTCACGCGTAGAAAATAGAACCGGCGCGTAAAGGCCGCAACATGCTGCTCCTGAGACACGGCCGACTCGCGCTGCTGACGGCTCCAGTGGAAAAGGTTCTGTTGACCACAGCGGTTCCTATCAGCAGCTATGACGTGCTGCTGACGGCTCCCGTGGAAAGCCGGGGTGAGGATTGCTGTAAAGTCACTGACACTAGTCAGTGACTCGATGCAACCTGCTGGGTTCCTTATAGGAAACTTTTTTCTGATTGGCTTAATGACCTGAACTGTGTGAAGTGCCCTGAGACGACTCTTGTCGTGATTTGGCGCTTTATAAATAAACTTGAACTGAGTTTGGGGAAAGCCGGGGCAAACTATGATCTACATATATCCGAAGTTTGGTGACACGCCTTCAACTATTCAAATGCTTTTTTCTCTGTCTCTACATGTTTGTCAGCTTTTAATGTCAAAACTCCGCTGAAGAGAGAGAAACAGCTTTAGATCTGCTGACGCTGTGCACTCTGGAGGCCGTGATCAGTGCATGAGTACCTCATGATACTCCTGGAGGTAATTAATTACCCCCACCCCAGCTGATCAGACAGCCTGATTGGTCAATGGGCACACACGCTGTGAAAATTCTATAATTAGCAGCAGCTGTAGCCTGCATGATCCCGACGTTCCGACTCCAGACATGTAAAATAGGGAAAATGTAGTGGGTGAAATCCTTCTGGGGGAAGGACTACGTGCACTATAGATGGAATAGAAAAGCTTTAAAGTCTTTAATTAAGATCATGATGAAGGTTTCAATTGTGAATCTGCTGACAGACATGAAGCGTTTCACAGAGAAAACAGGCTTTTTCCCTCTCCGGGCTCCTTTGTGATTCTGTGTCGGTGACATGAGGGAGGAAGAGAAAGAAAAGCAATTTTGAGGAAGGCAGGTGAGCATTTGAAGGCTCTCTGACAGACAGCAGCTTTTATTGCTATAGGCTGCATTACTTTCTGCCCTCCACCGGTGACAAAGAGGGAAAAGGGAGTGAGGCAAGCGGACGAGGACTGGGTTAACAGTAACCTCAGTATTTAATAGAAACTCTTTCTCTGTGGCTGTGGAGGAAATAAACATGGCGGCACAGGCTTTTCTCTTCCTTTTGATTTTTTGGGAGGTACTAGGTGGAAGGTTTGATGAGATGAGGCAAGGCTGAATGCAGGAACGCTTTTTCAAAGCGTCTGAAGCTGACGCAGCCGACAGCTCGGCACCCACACGCGAGTCAAATCCCATTTCACCGAGCCCGTCTCCCTCACACTTATCAAGTGTTGCTTTCTCCTCTTTTAACATAAAACAGAACAGACCTGCTTTTTTCTTGTAGCTACTCGTGTATTTTCAGAACTCACAAAGGTCTTATAGAGGAACTGCACTCTTGCATGAGGAAAAGCTGTAGCTCAACCCCCCCTGGGCAGAGTTATGATTTTTATTAAAGAAACAATTACTGAGCACGACAGACTCTTAAGACCAATTTTAAACTGCTAATGTCAGGGGTAGGGTGTTGGAAGCACGGAGTGGGAGGAGGCGTGTTGGCCTAATAGTTGTGTTAAACTGTTTTTGTGTATTCGCGTGTGCACGGACATGCACTAAGCTGTTCCGAGACTCTATAAATAAAGCATGAGAGGCAGTTTGCTTTATTAAAGAGTCAGTGTGGTGTGTGGATGTGAGTTTTGAACGTATTTGCAGCGTTAAACTCACTATACAGTGGTCTAACACCTAAACACCAGGAGGTTGTGTTGTGTTGTCTACAACAAGAACCACCTAGAACAGCATTTTCCATCAGCCTCACTCCAGACCACAGAAGGAAATCTCAACCTCTTAATTAAACCAGAACCCATGCTTTTGCAGCACAGACTTTGAAAAAACAAGGCCTGTTTATGCTGACCAATGACTTCAGAGTGCAGTTAATCATCTGATGGAAACCATTAAGGGTGTCTTTGTCCCCATGCAGGCCTCCACACCTACAGCATTCTCCCACTGACCACCTGACACCTACTCTCTGGAGACAATCTCATATTTGCACCAGTTTTTTGTGCTGAATGGTCAGCGTACATGTTACTGGCCACAATTATAAGAACAACTGTGCAGAAACATCTACCTTTGTTTGTTTCTACACCTGGATCATACCATTCTTGGTTACAGGGAGCTGGTACCCGTCTTCAGAGCTCACTGGACAAGAGGCAGGGTCCCTTAGTTTCATTTTAGAACGTTTGGTTTCTTAAGCCAGTACAGTGATCCCTCGCTACTTCGCGGTTCGTTTATCGCGGATTCACGACTTCGCGGATTTTTTCTTTGGAGCCTTATTCAAGGGAAATTCGCCGATTCGCGGTATTTTTCACCGATTCGCGGTATTTTTCTATGCGAAATATCAAGAAATTCCTGTTTTTTTCATCAATTTCATCATAAAATACACTTTTTGTAATAAAACTATAAAAAACCAAGTAAAAAAAATTTTTTTCTTGAGTTTTACCCACAAAAAGAGAATGCGATCATACGATAATTCAATATAGTACTGTACTGTAAATATGGTGTCCCTACTTCGCGGATTTTCACCTATCGCGGCCAGGTCTGGAACGCATCTACCGCGATAAACGAGGGATCACTGTATGTTTCTACGGTGTGATTATTGGAGGGCAATGATAAAATAAATTTATGTAAAGGCATCCAAATGATAACTTGGGGGAGAGTTCTGAATGTCCTTAAAATAATTTAGCAGGTCTTGTCATGTTTATTCAGTGTGATCATGTTCAAAGGTTTGGGAAAACTGATGCATTGTTAAAACATTAGCACCTCATTAGCCTGGCCTGCCAGACTCCTCCTCTGTTTCATTCTGCACAGAGAAAGGGTCTGGGGACTCTCCTATTCAAATAACCCCACCCCCTGAGAATTCTAACCGAGCCAATCAGCGCTGAGTATTGTACGTAACATCATAACGCCGAGTTAGTCGAAAACGGCAACTGAAGCGGAGTTCTCTGCGGCTCTTTTCTCTGTTCTAAATGACTTGAACACGTCTTTAAAACAACAAGTAGAAGCTCTAAAAGCCTTCCTTCTAAATAAAGATGTTTGCGTTGTCGCTAGACGCCATTTTTGACTACAGCTAAAAAAATACAGTGTAGCGGACGTCACACACAGCGACGCTCAGTTTCTCATAAACAACGAAGACAGCGGCGGAGTTTGCTGTGGCTCTTTCCTCTGTTCTAAATGACTTGAATGTCTTTAAACCCACAACAAGTAGAAGCGCTAAAAGCCTTTCTTCTAAAAGAAAAAGATGTTTGCTAGATGTCTTTTTTTATTACAGCTAAAAAGCTACAGCATCGTGCGGTACAGTCTGCATTTTCGTCTTTTTTCTGATTGTTATTTTTTGAGCTGCCTAGTCCCGCCCCTCCTACTACTACTACTCCTAAACTTTATTTATATAGCGCCTTCACATGGCCAAAGGACCAAACAAAGTGCTGCACAGCAGAAATAAACATTAAAAAAATTAAAAACATATAAAACCATTTAAAAACCAACAAAAACATGCAGACAAAATCTAGGTGGGGCAGCAAAAAGTGCAAAGCCATCCGTTAACGAGGCTCTTCTTGAATAAAAGCTAAAGAATAAAAGTGTGTTTTTAGCTGGCTCTTAAACTTGCCGAGCGTGCTGGCCTCTTTAACACATGCAGGTAGCTCATTCCAGAGCCTCGGCCCCAGCACCGAGAAAGAACGACCCCCTCGAGATTGTAGTCTGTGTTTAGGAACGACCAACAGTCCTTGTTGTGCTGACCGAAGGTTCCTTGTGGGAACATAAGGATGGATCAAGTCCGCCAGATAACGTGGAGCCAACTCATTTAAACATTTAAAAACAAACACCAGAACTTTAAACAAAATTCTAAAGGAGGCTGGAAGCCAGTGTAGGATGCCAAGACGGGCGTTATGTGTTCCAATCTCCCGGTACCAGTCAGTAACCTGGCTGCTACATTTTGGACCTTCTGCAGTTTCGCTATGGAGGCCTGCTTGATGCCTGCATAAAGCGAGTTACAGTAGTCCAGTCTGGTGGTAATGAAGGCATGGATGATAGTTTCCAGATGTTTACGTGAAAGAAACGGCTTGATCCTAGCTATTCTCCTGAGATGGAAATAGCAGGATCTCATTGTTCCATTGACTCTACATCCAACTTCACCCCCAGGTTGGTGACCACAGCCTTCTCAAAAGGTGCTAATAAAGGAGAGTCAATCCCTTGGGCACATCCATGTTTGTATTTCGGGCAGAACAGGATAGTCTCAGTTTTATTCTGGTTGAAGAACAATACATTTTGAGCCATCCATAACTTGACCTCCTCCAAGCAGTCCAAGAGTGGTTTAAAAGAACTTGAGTTATTGCCTGATACAGGTAAATAGATTTGACAGTCATCCGCATACAGGTGAAACATGACATTGTGCTGACGAAACAAGTCACCCAGCAGCAGCAGATAGAGGGAAAAGAGGATAGGTGCCAGGACGGTTCCCTGAGGCACTCCACACTGCAAATCAGCAGTATCAGACGAACAGCCCCCCAGTCTAACACAAAAATTCCTCCCTGACAGGTAAGATTTCCCCTCATGTGCCTCTCTGCCTGTGAGTTACCAGACTCTTTTTCTCTGTAAACAAAGGACGTCTGGCAGGCCAGGCTAGCACCTCATCACATCTGAGTGACCTTTTCAAGTCAGAATGTGCAGATGTGGGAAGGTCTTGAGGTGGGGATGGCAACAAAATTGCAACTTTAACTTTCTCAGTGACCCAGTGATAGAGCATCTGCCCTGGGATTGGGAGTTTGGGGTTCAACCATACCAGAGACTTTAACAATGGGACCCGATGCTTCCCTGCTTTAAATGGCTAATTTTGCACAAATTCAAAAATGATGAAGACACTTTGCAACTTAACAGTGTGACGACCCTCGTCCCCTCGGTCCGTCCTCTCATCCCAGCCTGAGCCTTTTGTCCCCGCTGCAAGGGATTCAGCACCAGGGACAGCGCCAGGAGTGGCCTGCTCGCACTCTCCAGCGCCCTTTCAGGACCTCGGAGAGAGGCAAGCCGGCAGTAGCTCAACCGGTTGAGCGGGTTGTCCAGTAATCGGAAGGTTGCAGGTTCGATCCTGGCTCCGGACAGAGAATTCTGCTGTTGTATCCTTGGGCAAGACACTTAACCCACCTTGCCTGCTGGTGGTGGTCGGAGAGACCGGTGGCGCCTGTGCTCGGCAGCCTCGCCTCTGTCAGTGCGCCCCAGGGCAGCTGTGGCTACATCGTAGCTCATCGCCATCAGTGTGTGAATGGATGAACACTGATGGTGATGAAGGGAGAAATTTACACTGTAGTGTAAAGTGCTTTGGAGTCCTTACTCTGAGAGGTGCTATACAAGTGCGGGTCATTTGTCATTTTGTAGTTGGAATATTTTTGTATTTTTTTAGGTCCAAACCAGTGTTTGATTAACTGGCAGCTGTAAATTGATGATCGGTGAGAGCATACACATATTTTCAAGCATACGTGTGATTCAATGACATGAACATGGTAATGTGGTTTTTATAACCATTTTTGCAGAAAAAGTTATTTTAAAAGTAGATACACAAGTCTAGTTGCTGTCACATGAAATAGCTTATATCCAGCTAAACAACTGGTGTTGCTTTACTGGAGCTAGTCTCAAACTTTATTTCTGTGTTGGATGGAGTTCATTTATTCCTCTAGGGCCAATAATAGAGATGGCATCCAAACGTTTGCAGGTAGTTAGACAATCCCCTGGACACTTTCCAGATGAGGTGTTATAGACAGCTGCCAACAAGAGGCCCAGAGTACATGCTGCAGAGATGGAGGATAACTTACACGGCTGCCCTGACGACCCTGACCCAGATAAATGGTAGAAAATGGATGGATGGGTGGATTAAAAGTCTTCAATGAATACTGCATGTAGATCACTCCCCCTGGCAGCAGTATCAGTCACACGCTCACTGCTTAAGAAGGCTGAGTTGAAGTAGAAGTCACAAAGGCACAGAGAGCTAGAGGGGCCGCTCAGAGATGGCACGTTTTCTTAAAGTTCAACATCGCCTGGCGTAAAATGTGAAAGAGCATTCGGTGTTTCAGCGTGTGCAAAGTTATCCCACTTAGATGCAACGTGTAGGTTCCAGCATCAGTGTTTTCTGATCCAGACACAGTAGCTGCATATTTAAAAGCATTCCGTGGTTCTTACGTTAACAGACTCCCGGCCAGCGTACTTGACCCGGATTCTGGGCTCCTGCACCACATCCAGATTTGTCCCCGTCACCATCAGAGGAGTGTGACCGCTGAATAATACAAACAAGGACAGCGCAGATTACTTCTAAGTAACCAATCAGGTTTGGTGTAATTTAGTGTTTAAAGAGCAAGTCACCCCTACCGGAGTCTAACTCCACGCCCACTTCATGTTTGAAAAATGCAAAAAATGCTGTTGCCTGGCAGACCGAGAAGGCGGAGCTGCTAACAAATACACACACACTCACAGGCTCACGACAGCATTGTGACATCATAATGTACCAGTTTACATCATAGCATACCTCTTAGCCAATAGCGGTGGCAGATTTAAATTAAAATACAGTGCAGAGTTTTTACCTGACGACGGCACAACCCTGCCAGTTTTAGGCAGAATATTTAAATTTTAACTAAGATGCACTGAAGTGCCAAATTATTGACGACACGTGTCTGCAGCACGATTAAGGTTGGTTTATGCTTGACGCGTCCGCGAGGTCCGCACGGCTCCGCGCAGAAAAGTTGCGTCATTTTGCGTCATTTTAACAACCACGCCCCTCCACCGCGCCTCCGCACGGCCCAGAATTTCCGCAACGCGCACCTCGGAAAATTTCTAACCACGCGGACGGACGGACGTGGAAAAACATGGCGGACCGGCAAGAACTAGTATGGCAGAGGTTCGTAAATACAGACATTTGTATGATTCAGCTCTCAGAGATCACCGTGATCAACATGTTGTTAATAATTCTTGGAGAGAAATAGCTCGCACTGTCGGAAAAGACGAGAACGCTGTTAAAAATGCTGAAATGCCATGTTGTAAACAGTCATTTCTACTTCTACTATGGTGTAGTGTTGGATGCATGCTGTAGAGCTCCATGCTGCCCCGTTCAGTTTGGGAGAATATTGGCTCACCGCAGAGACAAGCCGCACGAACCATAAACGCTGTGAGTTGTGAAGCGCCTTCCATCCGCGAGCCGCATCACCGCGCAGAAAGTGAATGCGTCAAGCATAAACCAAGCTTAAGACACTCGTTTATTTAGTTTATCAGCAAAAAAAAGTTTATTTGGGGGTGACTTGCTCTTTAAAGATGAATTCCTACAACAGAACAAGGCTGAGAAAATCAAAAAGAAAACAATTCTGAACTAAACTTTCTAACCTGAATGTACCTCTTCACTGTGTTCACCATCAGGAGAAAACCAACGCATCAAATCGAACCTCATTGTTAGTCTCTTCGGGAAGGTAATGGCCTCTGGGGTAGAGGATGATTAAAGAGGAATTTTAACTGATTCCACCGGCGGTAATCAGCTTGTAGATTTGAGTTTGGGAAAAAAAAATAGTTTTGGGGTCTTAGAACAGCAGGACGGAGCCTCAGAGGGAGCGTCTCCTTCGTTTTCCCCCGATGCAACCATCAGTGGGTTAAGAACCGCATATCGGGTGGGTGAGGGGCTTACGGTTTTTATTCTGTGTACCGTCACACCCAACAGGAAGTGAGTTACTGCTGACAGACCTTGTACTAGCCATTAGCACAATAAAACTGGTTTATATTTATTTAATTCTCAAAGAAAGTAAAAATAGATATAAAGACTCATTTCCATTAGCTCAGTAGTGCCTCCTGTATGTGTTTCTATGAGAGGTCAGCAGTTCACTGTCTCTGTCCTCGTCCTCTCCCGTCTGAGAGCTGCGGCTTTCTATCAGATCCAGACTAATTGGAAGGAAACTGAAGAGTAATTGAAAGTGCAGTATTGACTCCTGGCTGCTTCTGACCCAAACTGACTGGCTCTAAAGATCTGGACGGAGAGGAAATTCTTTGTCTCAGTGAGAAAATAACTACAGATCACCTTGCGATGCTCCAGTCGGGTTCAATCCGCAGAACAGTCGGGTCCTCGATGTACTCAAAGGTCAGACTCTCCCTGATTTGGGCGTGATCCACGCTGACGCTGATTTGAACAGGGCCGACCCCGGACAGCGATGGGGCGGAGTAGCACAGGATCTCCTTCATGGTCCTCCTATAGAAGCCGAAGGGCGGCGGGATTAGTTAGGTTGTTTGAATCTACATCAACACAAAGTCTAGATAAAAAAGATAAACTCATAACGCCTCATTAAATGATGCATTACCTGCAGAATTATTCAATTTACACAAGCAAACGACACCACCTACAGCAACAGAATACATTATGCAATTTGTTCTGCCAGCCCTGTTCTGTAATTACCTGACTTACAGCATGAGCACAGGTGCACCCCATGCACACACACACACACGCTCCTCCATTATCTACCTGCAAACCCTCTGCATTTGTCCTAATTCATTAGAAGAGGAGAGCTCGGCAGAACTTCTCCTGTTCTCCTCAGCCTCTCCTGCACCACGTGCTGAAGCACGAAGCAGCAATTAACCCCATATCTTGCTAGGGCTTACTCGACTCCCTCAGCCTCGCGACATCATAGTCAGATTACTGCTGCAGGGCTTAAAATAGGTGCCTTCAGGAGTGAGACGTAAAGGGGAGGGGTGGATGTGGGAATATCTGAGGGCTGCGGTGGGTGAAGAGAGATGGAGGCAAGCTGTGAGAGGGAGAAATAAACACTGATGCTTGGGCGGAGGAATAAACACACTGATGGAAGGATAATGAGAAGGATGGAGCCGGATGGAGAAATGTTTTTCCCCTTGAAGGTTTTATTACAAGGTTTGGCACAGTAGGTCATCAAAAGCTTATTAAGATTTACACAAGTTTCCAACAGAGGAACAAAGAAAGACTTCCCCCGAGGGACTTCTCGGTTACAGCAGGAGGAAAAGAACAAGAGAAGCCATCAAATAAAGCCGCTTGTTTAACGCCAACGATCCACATGATATCCAGGACCAGAGCTTTATTCTTCTATTTGGTGCACGGCTCGTATTTTAATACTTCTGACAGTGATCGATGTCGCCGTGTTAAAAAATATAAATAAACACAAAAAGTCTTCCTGAACTGGTGTGTCTGTATGGGAATTATTTAGGGCTGAGCAGGTGATGCAAAATTAAAATAAAGAAAAACAGAATTAAACACAAGAGGCTCTGTGTGCTTTACTTTTTGTCTCAGCTGCTTTTTAAAGGAGCATTTTGTCCATTTTAAAGTTGCCTTTTTATTAATGATAATAACCAGCTGCCTGGTGGGAACCTGTGGATTTTATTTATGGACATTAACAGTTTTATATATACAGTTTCATAAATGTAAAGCCTTCACAAAAACACTGTTAGACAGCAGTGCTTTGTTACACTTTTTATTTCTCCACTAGTTTCTCTCAAAACATGAAACAAATCAAGAGGAGCGGGAGTCCTCACCCGAAGAACTCGCACGTCTGATTCCCAAACTGAACGTTGACACTGCTGCCGGCACCGAGGTTTTCTCCCATTATGGTGACTTTAGTGCCTCCAGACTCCGGACCTCTGCTGGGGGACAGGCCCGTGACTGTTGGAGTCTGGGAAACAGAAGGTCAGAGGTCAGACGTGAGAGCCTTTCAAAGGGAAGGAGGAGGACGCCAGCAGACAGACTAAAAGATGCACACTCTCAAGAGTAAACAAGAAAACATCCCCGTGGTCACATGTGACTACTTCATGCATTATCGCAGATCCTGAGTAAATTACGGATTTTCATGTTGCCAGGCTGACGGCAGCGGAGCGCGGTGCTGGTGGGATCAAACCAGGAGCTCTTACAATCCCTGGGAGATGCTGCCACTGCGTGTTGTGCATTGGTGAGTTGTGTTTGAGCGAAGCTTTTTAAAGGCACTCTGAAAATAACTAGTGTTTACAGCAGCAGGCAGCTAAGTTGCCATCACACAGACAGATGGAGCAATATAAACGTAGACGGTCTGTCACATGGGACCTGTGGAAGCAAGGAAACGTATAAATATCACTTTTTACAAACGTGCACACGCTGTCCTTAATGCCAACCCCGTGTCTGCACCTTACCACTGAAGCTTTTGTGTGCCATGTGTCGTGTTATAGGTGACCTGCATTACATGGAAACTGCAAGCAGCGGAAAATCTGCGCTCTGTGAGGAAATCTTAGAGGAATTCATCACACAACAGCAGTTGTACCACTGATTATAGAAAACAGGCTGCAGAGGCGAGAGCTTCACACGGACGAAGCTCGAATGTGTTGCCTGCTGCAGCACGTGCGACTTCCAGGGCGCAGAATTAAAGCAGCTGCTCTGAAAACTCACAGCTAATTAAAGAATGCTGTCAATTGTTACGGGAGAATAAAATCAAAGGTGTGAGAGCTGAAAAGGAAAAGGCAGCTAATCTGTTTGGTGATGGTGGAGCAAGATGGCGGTGTGACTCAGAGGGCAGATGAGGTTTATGTGGATTTTAATGTTTTATTTTTTTCTAAATCTACCTCTCATGAGCCAGAGACATCCTATTCGCCTAAAATGCAGGAATCACTTAAAAAAATAATGAATGAGAAGATTAATTGGTGTCTGCTGAGGGTGTCACACATCTAACAAACATGTAATCTGTAGGGCAAAAACTAATTACAGCCGATTAGTTTGAGCCAAATCTGCTAGAAAGTATCCAAACAGTTAGAAAATAAAAACAAGTCTTACTTCCAATGCAAAAAACATAAAACTGCCAGACTGATTTCAGTTCTCAATCACCAACAGTTTTATGGTTGACGTAGCAGTGATGCCGTATGTCCCCATCACCTCCATCTGTGTCCTTCTGCATCAGTTCACAGCTTAATCTGTCGTCTGATAACGTTTCTAAGATACCGTGCTCTCTGATAGATACACAGGTTTAATGTTTATCTCATTATTTAAATCTGAGATGTTACAACCTGTATGTAGCTGTTCATGATTAGCAATACTATTCGAAAACTTTGGGTCATGTCAGGCTGAGTGTTTTGGGACCAAATCCATGATTTTGATGAACTGGAATTTGGATAAAAAACAAAACGTTTTGTCTCGTCTTCTTCCGCCTATCTGGGTCCGGGTCGCGGGGGCAGCATCCCAACTAGGGAGTTCCAGACCGTCCTCTCCCCGGTCACCTTCACCAGCTCCTCCGGTAGGACCTCAAGGCGTTCCTGGGCCAGTTCGGAGATGTACTTTCTCCAACATGTCCTGGGTCGACCTGGGGGCCTCCTGCCGGCAGGACATGTCTGAAACTCCTCCCCTGGGGAGGTGTCCAGGAGGCATCCTAACAAGATGTCCGAACCACCTTAACAAACAACCCCCGAGTTGCTGTCCTGATGCACTGTCCAGATTTTGTCCTGGACCATCGTTTTAAACTTAGTTTAGAAAAGAACCTTTTGATGCCCTTATCAAACCAATCTAGTCATCATGGCGCGTAAATAGCTGTAGAATTGCTGTTGGAGTGTTCGCTGTCAGCTTCAGATTTAACAATAGCACTTCAGCACAGAAAAGAAAACTGACTGAAGGAGCCCCAGACACCAACAGTATCTTTATACTACCATTCAAACTGGAGCTGTGTGTCATGGTCTGCATCTGCGTCTTTCCCCATGTGTCTCCTAATGTTTCTCCATCCTGCTAGATTCCCTTTTGTGTTCTCTTAGCACCCTCATGTGTCCTTTGTCTGCATCTCTGTTATGTATCTTATGTTGAAGCCCTTTAAAATCATTCCTCCCAGGTCCTGTGTCATCCAGTCATCCTCAGCCCCTCTAGTTGTAGCTCCAGCCTCTTGTTCCCCAGCTCAGTATATGTGTGTGTCAGTATATGTATGTGTGTGTGTGTGTGTGTGTGTGTGTGTGTGTGTTTGTTTGTCCATCCCAGTCAGGTCTGGTGTCCTGCTCTGCTCCTCTCCTCATTAGTGATTTCACCTGCGCCAGTTCTCCACACACCTGCTCCTCGTCTCCTATCACTCCAGCCCCAGTGTATAAAGCCTCTCCTTGTCTCGTTGTTCTTGTCGGTCCATTGTATTGTTTGTCAGCGTTGTTTCGTGCTGTATGTGAGCTTATGTCTCCAGGTTTTGGTGCTCTCAGTGAGCTTTTGTTCTTGTTACCAGGATTTTTGGATTTTTGGACTTTTGGCTCGCTGCCTGTGGATTTATTTTTGTTCGTCCTGCAAAATAAAGCATATTTACTTTACATCATCTCCAGCCTCATGTCTTCTGGGTATCTGCACTTTGGGTCCTAACCTTCCCCTCAACGTGACACTGTGGCCACTGAGGTGTTAACGTCTACAGCTTGCGCCACACAAGTAATCATCACGCCACTTTGATCAGAACCGCCAAATTTACTTGGAAATCTGTTTTTTTAACAACATCTGCAGTTGGAACTATAGCCTGAAACCATGCTACACGAAGAAAGCTCCAGAACAACAACAAAATGCTCTGGTTGTGAGCTCATGTGAGACTGGCATAAAGACATAACACACACATGTTCCCGGGGTCACATGATTCCACGCGTTTGTCTCCTTTGGGATTATGCACCTGAGGTGAGAAAGAAAATCCACACTGTGAGAGAAAAGGATCAAACCCCGTGTCTGTGATGGCATGAGGGTGCACCAAGTTCCCATGGTGAAAAGCGCCATTGATGCAGAAGCATCGCGTATGTTTAGTGTCTTCCTGACATCAAGTTCAAGCTTTGTAAAAAATGTCAGACTTGTTACATTTTGGTAAATGTCCCAACTTTTCTCTGACTTGTCAGAGTAAAAAAAAAAACTGTTTACGGAGCAGATTTTAATTATAAAACAAAAATGCAAACTGATGCATTATTCAATTTTTAGCCTAAGCAAGCTGGTGAGTTGTTTAAAAATGTGTGAAGAAAAATGAAAATGTTTAAGGGTACTATTATCCTCACAATCAAGTCATGAATTAAATTTAACATAGAATTACAGTGGTGTGAAAAACTATTTGCCCCCTTCCTGATTTCTTATTCTTTTGCATGTTTGTCACACAAAATGTTTCTGATCATCAAACACATTTAACCGTTAATCAAAGATAACACAAGTAAACACAAAGTGCAGTTTTGAAATGATGGTTTTTATTATTTAGGGAGAGAACTAAATCCAAACCTGCATTGCCCTGTGTGAAAAAGTAATTGCCCCCTGAACCTAATAACTGGTTGGGCCTCCCTTAGCAGCAATAACTGCAATCAAGCGTTTGCGATAACTTGCTATGAGTCTTTTACAGCACTCTGGAGGAATTTTGGCCCACTCATCTTTGCAGAATTGTTGTAATTCAGCTTTATTTGAGGGTTTTCTAGCATGAACCGCCTTTTTAAGGTCATGCCATAGCATCTCAATAGGATTCAGGTCAGGACTTTGACTGGGCCACTCCAAAGTCTTCATTTTGTTGTTCTTCAGCCATTCAGAGGTGGATTTGCTGGTGTGTTTTGGGTCATTGTCCTGCTGCAGCACCCAAGATGGCTTCAGCTTTAGTTGACCAACAGATGGCCGGACATTCTCCTTCAGGATGTTTTGGTAGACAGTAGAATTCATGGTTCCATTTATCACATCAAGCCTTCCAGTTCCTGAAGCAGCAAAACAACCCCAGACCATCACACTACCACCACCATATTTTACTGTTGGTATGATGCTCTTTGTCTGAAATGCTGTGTTACGTCTACGCCAGATGCAACGGGACATTTGCCTTCCAAAAAGTCCTACTTTTGTCTCATCAGTCCACAAGGTATTTTCCCCAAAGTCTTGGCAATCATTGAGATGTTTAATAACAAAATTGAGACGAGCCCTAATGTTCTTTTTGCTTAACAGTGGTTTGCTTCTTGGAAATCTGCCATGCAGGCCATTTTTGCCCAGTCTCTTTCTTATGGTGGAGTCGTGAACTTTGACCTTAATTGAGGCAAGTGAGGCCTGCAGTTCTTTAGAAGTTGTCCTGGGGTCTTTTGTGACCTCTCGGATGAGTTGTCTCTGCGCTCTTGGGGTAATTTTGGTCGGCCGCCAGCTCCTGGGAAGGTTCACCACTGTTCCATGTTGTTGCCGTTTGTGGATAATGGCTCTCACTGTGGTTCGCTGGAGTCCCAAAGCTTTAGAAATGGCTTTAAAACCTTTACCAGACTGATCTCAATGACTTTTGTTCTCTTTAGTTATTGAATTTATTTGGATCTTGGCATGATGTCTAGCTTTTGAGGTGCTTTTGGTCTACTTCTCTGTGTCAGGCAGCTCAAATTTAAGTGATTTCTTGATTGAAACAGGTGTGGCAGTAATCAGGCTTGGGGTGGCTACAGAAATTGAACTCAGGTGTGAAACACCACAGTTGGGTTATTTTTTAACAAGGGGGGGCAAATACTTTTTCACACAGGGTAATGTAGGTTTGGATTTAGTTCTCTCCCTAAATAATAAAAACCATCATCGTGTTTACTTGTGTTATCTTTGATTAACGGTTAAATGTTTTTGATGATCAGAAACATTTTGTGTGACAAACATGCAAAAGAATAAGAAATCAGGAAGGGGGCAAATAGTTTTTCACACCACTGTAAATCAGTATCTGTTAGTCTTTTAATGACACTTTGACATACCGCACACATCTTAGATTTGGGGTGACGTTTTAGAAATATTTTAATTCATTTGGCACAATTTGTGAAGTAGAAATTTGTCCTGTGTGGTTGACGTACGCAGTCCTCACAGCAGGTAGCGCTGTGTAGCTACAAGCTAACAAATAAATAAAAACAACAACAAGAACCTTCACCCATGGCTTGCTTTTCTTATCTGATGCCTTAGTGTGACGTCTTCGGTGGAACACCACGCACAAAGGACAAAAACTGTCCGTTCCATGATGGCTTACCGCCTCGTGAGGGGTCTCTCGTGTTTTGAAAATCCTGCAACAGTCTTAATATCTGACCAACTTGGCCAGTGAAGGCCACTATACTGTAGTTTTGCTGCTCCAACACACCCGACTCAGTGATAAAAATACATCTTCAGGATGTCCTCCAGCGTGTTAATGACTCGTTGGTTTAAATCAGGTGTTTAGCAGCAGGAAAACATCTCGAGGACCAATACTGGACACCGATGGGTAAGGGAATGACTCTTCAGTACTTAATTATTAGTTCTGTTTCTATAAAACGTAACAAGTTATGGGCACTTCATGTTTTATATGAAGGAAACGTTAACAACCAGAGATGTCTAAAGAGTTCTTTAAAAGCCCTGGAGCTGTCAGGCAGCAAATGTTACTTTACCACACACACACATACACACACACACACACACACACACACACACACACACACACACACACACACACACACACACACACACACACACACACACACACACACACACACACACACACACACACACACACAGAGCCGCCTAATTAGACTGGCGGTTGTCCTAGCAACTCATAACTCAGGGTATCTGCAGGTTTAAGGGAGCCAAATTTAAGACATTTTAAGACCTTTTTAAGGCCACTTTGACCAAATTTAAGCTCGTTGTCGTCTTCCTCCGCTTATCCGGGTCCGGGTCACGGGGGCAGCATACCAACTAGGGAGCACCAGACCGTGCTCTCCCGGCCTTCTCCACCAGCTCCTCCGGCAGGACCCCAAGGAGTTCCCGGACCAGATTGGAGATGTAACCTCTCCAACGTGTCCTGGGTTGACCCGGGGGCCTCCTGACCATGCCCGAAACACCTCCCCAGGAAGGCGTCCAGGAGGCCTCCTGACCAGATGCCCAAATCACCTCAACTGACTCCTTTCGATCGAGATCCAAATTTAAGCTATTTTTTAAATTAAATTTAAGATATAATTTCCAGCTATTGCCTGGAACCGGTGCTAACCACGTCGCAAACGTGGGATCAGCCATCCAGTTACCATTAAACTTGCCCTTCCCCATGGCGCAAACTCCCACTAGCTTAACCAGCTAATG